TGTGCCAGGATGAAATATAAAAATTCTGTTTATATAACCCCTGCATGCTATATTTCTTGTACATATGTATGTACTTTTAGATTGTTTTAAAGTTGTTTTTTTTAAAGGCACTGGCATACTGCAGTACAAAATGACAGCTTCCAATATAACCTTTATGGTTCCAGTTATCCATTTGGTTTCATATGGGTCTAAAGCAGTGGTTCTCAACCTGTGGGTCGGGACCCCATTTGGGGTTGATCGACCATTTCATGGGGGTCACCAAACAAGGCTGTCCGCCATTTTTTTTTGTCCGCCATTTTCCCCCTTTTCTGGCGGGTGCCTTACTTCCCTTGGGCTGGGCCAGTTGGTGGTCGGCCTGCTCCGTCTCTGCCGCTTGCCAGCTACGCCTCGGCCGGCGCAGGGGGCAGAACCACGCATGTGCGGCGCTCCCGGGCAGGGAAAGTCCTCGACTTACGACCAGTTGGGTAGTCCTCGACTTACGACCGGTTTAGTCCTCGACTTACGACCGATTTAGTCCTTGACTTACGACCGGTTGGGGTCGCGGCATTAAAAAGGTTGAGAACCACTGGTCTAAAGGAATACTCATAGGCAAGTAACTATTTGGAAATATTTTTTCCTCTCCAGGAGAAAACAGACAAATGTAACTGGGGAGTGATAGGGAAAAGAATGCCGAGGAACGTTAAAAAACACTAAAGGGAGTTAGAGAATTGAAGAGCGTTTAGCCTGTGTTGTGGATACACAAACATGCATGTATGGTCAAAGGAAATAAAAATTAAACCCAGAATCAATTCTGTGTTCAGCTATCATGAAACCATCACTTACAAACTCTATAAATATCCAGACAGTTAAATTCATCCCCATTTGAAATGCCAGAGCTAGTAAAACTGTCTTTACCAAACTTTCAATTTTATTTAAGAATTAAGATGACCCAAATATATTCCCTGAAGTGTATTATTTTCAAATGGGACAGATTTAAATAAATAAAATAATAAATCTGTATCTACCGAAGTATTTTTCTAACTAAAGTACTTCCAAATATTATATTAAGTGCAGAAAAGTTACAAACTTTTTGATTCGGTATAAAGGTAAAGGAGTCCTTGTGGATTTTACTCTGCTAGTCATTGTTGACTATAGGGGGGCAATGCTCATCTCTGTTTCAAGGCCGTTAAATCAGCGCTGTCTGAAGAATTTCTGCAGTCATGTGGCCAGCATGACATCATGGAGCGCTGTTACCTTCCCACTGAAGTGTACACTTTCAAACTGCTAGGATGGCAGGAGCTGGGACAAGGACAGAGAGCTCATCCTGTCGCATGGAGCTCGAGTCTCAAACCTGGGCTGCCAGCCTTCCAGTTGACAAGCCCAGTGTCTTAATTGTGGAGATACTGCACTGCTCAATTCAATATAAGTTTTGAATATTTTTAGGTATCTTGCAGGCAAAACCATCCATATAATTACAATCAATTGCTGCATTCAACTGAATATTAAACTGAGTTGGCAAAGACATTGAGGCTGTTGCAAATGGGCTGAAATGCTGCAGCAAAGAGGACTTGCCTACTTTGATCTGAATGACTCTTCGGAACTTGGAGAATGCCTTATTATTATTTATTAAATTTATATTATTTATTAAATTTATATACCGCCCTATCTCCCTTGCGGGACTCAGGGCAGTGAACAGGCAATACTAAAAACCACGAATAAATAAATAGTTTCTGTTTTAAAATCGAATTGAATAATAGGCCTGTTCTAAAAACACACCCATACAAACCCCCCCCACTGAAACACAATCCAAACTACGCCAGGCCGGCCGCACGGAGTAGATGGGCCTTCAGGGCTCGGCGAAAAAGGCGCAGGTCCGCAACTGTACGTAGGTCGGGGGGTAGGTCATTCCAGAGGGCAGGAGCTTGCTTAAGAGACTGAAAAGTTATACTAATCCTTGTCTGAAAAGCTATCCAATGAACAGATTTTAACCTCATTCTTGTGGATTTCCATTCGCAGACGGTCCATGTTGTTCATAGTTTCCATTAATTTTGGCTGAAGACTTCCTGGATCGCCCATTTGTGGATTTTTCTCATACACATCTTTCATTTTGATGAGGGCATCTCTACAGAAAAATGCAATTGTCAGGAGTTCATCAAATGATGTTCAACAGCCTGCCTCTGTTCATCATCCTTTTGGGAGAAAGAGAACTGACTGTATACCAAAACCAGAGGCACTATAATGGGCTACTTATCTGTAATTGTGATTCTTCACTTCATTAATCTGTGAATTCACACAAAAAAGGTTGGGGCTTCCAATGCTTCACAGATCTTGGCAGGAACCTGTCCCCTTTGTGTATCACAACTACTCTTTTGTGTGGCATACGGCACCTTCTAACCTCCTCAATACTCAGATTCAAAAGTTGTATTAAACCCTAACAAAAAGCACAAAAATATCTGAATTTATACATGATCAACTGAAAACCCATAGCTGGCTTCAGTTTTTGTGATTTGTATATATGGATGTGCCTATGTGGTAGAACCAGTGAGATTGATTTTTTTTTCTGAGTTTGCTTTGGATCAAATAAATATATTTTAAAATGTCTAAGTTATCACCCCAAGATGATAAGCATAGAATTTTTCTATAAGATTTTATTTTACATAAAGGATATCTCCTCTCTTAACAGTTCTTTCCTGGAACTACAGTATTTTACACATGAATGAAATTATATTTTGACTACTGTTGGATTTGGAACAATTAAAATTTTGTCAGGTACAGGTTGTGAACTATTCTTTCACGGACACTTATTACTATTTTCACAAGAATTATTCCTACAGTTCTTGATTTATGAGGATTGGGAATTACAATGGCCTCAGAATGGGTGTTTTTTACGGCCTCTAAATCACTGCCGGCCATTGTAAAATGTTGCGCTCACCCCACCATTTACAGCCGGTTGCCGCAACCCAGAGTCACATGACCACATTTTGTTTCCAGCCCCCCCCCCCAAATCCATTAGGAAGAAGGGTCTGCTTAATGACTGCACCATTTGCTTGATGACTGTGTGATTCGCTTAACAATCACTGCAAAAAAAGATCATGAAAATAAGTCTGGTCACATAGGTGCCTCGATTTACAACTGTAACAGCTTACACTGGATTTCCGATCCCAATTGTGGTTGAAAATCGAGGACTATCTATAGTTTTTACTTTCTAGATACTTATTATCTCATTTTTCTTTCCCTATTTATACACGTTATAATTGTCCCTATTCATACACTTTATAATTCCTATCACTACTCTTATCTTCATTCTTGCCATGTTCCCTTACATATTTAGATGCTGGTTATCAATTTATTCTTTCTTTGCATTCTACTCAAACAATAAATTCTCATTTTATCACAGCCAGGGGAAGATAATTGTTTACAAAGTGAAAGAAGAGCATTCCATCATCTTTCTGGGAATAAAAGCTGAGCTTTAGTGCTCCATAAAGGTGGACTGGTTATCATCCAAAGCCTATAAATGTGAATCACACACAGATCACAACTGAAGAACCAAAATTCCAAATGCTTAGGAGGATTTATGATAAATCAAACCAGATGGATGCTTGGAGTGAAAGAGTTTCAAATTCTAGGTAGAGCGAAATAAAATCAGCATCAAGAGTCAGAATAACATAAATACTTTTGATCTGTCTCTTTCTGTAGTTCTCTGTTAAGCTCATCAATCCGCTGCTGAAGTTTTTTCCGCCTTTGTTCTGGTGGCAAGTGACTGAAATCTTCTTGGGAAGGACCCTGAAACCAAAGAAAATACAACACTTAGAAATGGTAGCTCTCCCACTGATATTTCTGTTGGCAGTAAACCTAACAGTATATTTCTTTGCTGTATAATGCAGTTGAAAGAAATAATTTACTCACTTCAATAATGCTGCAAACTATAGAACTAGAAAAAAACGTATATCTAATACTGAATTTGGTATCTTGATGATCTACTGTTCTTTGCTACTCCAAAGCAACAATTGAACAATCTGCAAATGGATGTGATGGGTTACTATATTCTTTCCCAATATGCTTAGAGTATTACAATATTCTTCCTTATTACAAACAACAGAACAAGAGATAATAAGCTTAAGTTCTAGAAAAGGAAATTGGATTAATATGTTAATAAGAGAATTGTAATACATTTTCTTGCAATTTTGGAAATTATTTGAAGGAGAAAAACAATCTCCAGGAATAGTATAGATTTATTAATCTATTTGCTGTAGCAACATCCAAAAAGGCTATAATATAGAATACATACTTGGGTTTTTTCTTCAAATCATATAAATGTTTTGCCACTTTTTAAAAGGATTCCTCTAAAAAGACATAAACCCTGATAACTAGAATCTGGAAGCCAATCTCAGGAATGCAAACTCCTTTCCCAAAATGAAGATACATTTCAGTTTGAACTGTGGTTAAGCAGTACATTTGTACCAATATCAACGTAAGTAGTTAGATGTTTTACTCAAATTTGAAATGTTAATTTAACACAAGAATACTTGTATTATGTTGGGAGTTTTTAAAGCTGTGATTATAGTGCAGGACACATCGTGTAGTATTTTGCCAACAAGGTTTCCCTTTATTATTTTACTGTAAATAAAACTAATATTGGTAAAGCTCTGTCAGCACAAGAGTGAATGCAATAGGAGTACACAGTAAGGATCTATCTAGTTTGATTGTGTAACTCTTAGTTAAAAATCGGTCTTCACAAACCCATTTACCTGTAATAAAGGTCATTCTTTAGCCCAAAAGAGATTTCTTATGAAGAAAAGCTATTAAAGAGCTTGGAAGTAGTCAGTCTCAAACTTCACTGAAAACACGTTGAAATTTTCTCCAAACAGGGAAGATCACATGCCAAAGAACAAAATTGGTTCTTTGACAGAAAATCAAGAACAGCAGCACCCCAAATCTAAAAACCAACAGCCACTTCTTTTTAGCCTTTATTTCTTGTTTCCCGTAGCACATGATGGCAAATTAATTTCATGATATAATTCGCTCTATTTTCTGGAAAGCTTGATTTGGGAATAGTTACATCATACCCCTAAATCAAATTACTTGGCATGAGCGCAGACTGAATTTAAACAGAAACCTTTTTTTTAATAACCTACAGAAAGTTCATTTCCAAATCCTGATATATTGAAGAGAATACAAGCAATTTCTATCACATTCAACGCTGGGAACATAATTAGCAAACCTCAAACTATAAACAAGCTGTTACAAAGAAAGATTCACAAATCCACCTACTTGAACACATGTAATTAACAATTTAATAAATTAACTGGTTAATTACAAGCCAAAGAGGAATTTACAAGCCTTTATTTTAATGGTTTACCATCTGTTTAGAGAAGCTAAACAAGGCAGGCTTGTTAAGTCCAGTTTTCTACATAATTTCATACTAATTTTTCTAGATCAGTAGTTTTACTGCAGTAGTTTTTTTCAGGAGAGGCTGTCTAGTGAACATCTAAATACAATATGGTAAAACATAATGATTTTGTAACATCTTACATTCCATCATTACGATTCAACTGATGTTAGTGGTGTTCTTATGCCACTTAAGAAAAAGATTTTCTTGGGAACTTTTTCTATTCTTAAATATAACACTGGAATCACCACCATGCACAAAAAATATCCCATAAGGGCTAGAGAGAGCCAAGTTCCAAAGAAATTGAATGGGATGGGGGACTGAAAATCCAGGCATTCTTACAAGAATGCTGCCTTCAAAACTGATCTCAGATAACTGCCTTCAGTATAATAAGCAACATTTGTTTCTAGTTTTCCCCACCATATTTATTGAATTTCTATTGAATTCTGTGTAATTTTATGTCAAAAAATTAATATAACTGTCAGGAGTATCTGCAGGGATGTGTGCCCTGTCTATTTTGTGTGCATATTGTGGTGATGCACATATCCAAAAGGGGCAGAGCTTCCAGCAAAATATTGGTCTCCTTATTTTGACAAAAGCAGAAGGAGGCTATGGATTCTACTTATTTACGAAAATTAAGTTTTATGCTTTCTTTATCAATTGCAAAGATAGCTGAAATTATATTTACATCTTCCCTTTCTTTTTTTCCTAAGTCTATTAATTTTTCCAGCAACTTTTTATTACATTAAACAGTAGAAACATATAAATTTTCCTATTGATTCACAAAATAAACTAAAACATTTTCCAGTATTATGACTGCAGACATTAGGTTTGAACAGTTTTATTATTAGAATAACCTCTTAATATTTCTTTTATCACAGTAAATTATACTCAAGCGTCAAGTTTCATTTTCCATTGCTTCCATAATAGCATTCTACATCGATAGTAGAATTAGCTTGATATATTTCAATGTTATTTTAAATTCATTTTTTAAAAATATGCAAATGATGTAAATAGAACTTTAACTAAAAATGGATGTTGATACGTTTGTTTTTTTTAAACCAAACCTGCTTACAACAGGTCTAGTATATAAAACTGCACTGGAAAATATGTTAAGGATATTTTTTCTAAGTCACGTTTGCAAAGATTTTCTAAATGTATGTTAAAGAAAAGGATGATGGATTATTTCATCAAAATGAACCAGCTTTACATGACTTCTAAATAATGGATAAACTCCTATATAATGTAAGACTTCTTATACAAAGCTAATTTTCCTCTTTTCTTCCCTAAATGCTCCTTGTATGCTTCATCTATTATCTTCAAAAACTTCAGAGCATCTTGGGAAGATGTAGAAAGACCCTGTTTATTCTGGAATTGGATGCAGAAATAGGACTTCACCCTCCCCAAATAATTGTAAATATTCAGTAATTCAAACAGGACAATTCTATATCACGCCACACTGATTTTTTGCCCCACAGACCCAATTCAAATGTGTGTAATTTGTATAACAGAGCTCAAAAGTAAGCTCTAGGTGAAATTATTTTCATTTCATAAAGACAATGCGTAAACACATCCTACTTTGTAAGATGAATTATATCTTTATCAGACCAGTAATACAATCTATAAAATAGCAGGAAATTGTTTACAGCAAGCACAAACGAACTATGAGACAAAGTGACAAACGAAAGTATGCACACATCTGACTGACTCAAAAGCAACTACGAAATGGATAAGCTATTACATGCTATTTTTACGAATTACAGCAGACAGGTGTAGACAGTATACACGCCTTACCGTCTTCATCGACCACTGACCAAGTTTAGTTGAAAACAGAAAGAAACAGGAAATTATTTGCATACTTCCAACCAGTATTTAGGAAGACTTTTGAATGTAAAATATCCACCCAATACCAGCTAATCTGGCATATATTATTCAGAAGCAACTCTCACTGAATTCACTAAGGTTTGCTATCAAGCATAAATAGTACTACATTCCTTATTATGAAATATTCTATTGTTATGCTCATTTTAAACATCACCTAAAGTACCACAATAGTATACATGGAGGTCGCAGGCAGCCATGGTTTAAAACAGAAGCAATAGTCTAACAGTTTAGAAGTACACAATACCTTTGATATTTTACTATTTCTACCAAAAAAAAGCACATGGGAATGCTATACAATGCAGAAGCATTTGACAATGACAATGACCTTAGGTTTAGAGTCAAAATCTACAGTATACGCTTATTTAACTTTGAAAAAAATGCCAATATTTAAACGAAGCTCCCAAATTCTGTGTCTCGTGTAGTTCTTTAGTCCTTTTTAGCTAGGTTTATCTATATAGGAAAACAGTAAAAGCAAAGTCATTCACGTGTTTTCCTCTGTTTTTGATATGTTCAGCTATCAACAGATGGCTAAAGCTATGAGTAGTTAAAGTCCATGCCATTTTATTCTGGGGGGAAAAAGTGTATTTGAATTATCCTGTTCCTCATAATAGTTATTTCTTGATTATTTTCTATTTTTAAAAATGATAACCAAAGGGTGATGATAAAGAGGGCTGGACTAGAAGACCTTCAAGGTCCAGTCCAGTCCAGTCCATTCTATATGATACAGAAATTGTTGGGTTTTTAAATGTTTAGCCATTTTGTCCAATATAGAAAATGCTATTTCAAGTCAGAATGTTGATTATAAATTAAAAATAGAATACAGAATAATGGGGTTGGAAAGGACCTTGGAGGTCTTCTAGTCCAACCCCCTGCTCAGGCAGGAAACCCTATATCATTTCAGACAAATGGTTGTCCAATCTCTTGTTAAAAACTTCCAGTGTTGGAGCATTCACCGCTTCTGGAGTCAAGTTGTTCCACTGATTAATTGTTCTGTCAGGAAATTTCTCCTTAGTTCTAGGTTGCTCCTCTCCTTGCTTAGTTTCCATCCGTTGCTTCTTGTCCTGCCTTCAGGTGCTTTGGAGAATAGATTGACCCTCTCTTCTTTGTGGCAGCCCCTTAGATATTGGAACACTGCTAATAAAATGAAGTGTGCCAATTTGGCATGAACAAACAAACCTCTCCTGAGCTATGAAATGGGACTATATATATTTCCTTTTTTATACAACACGAAATCATTTAACATTTCCCAATCAGTACGGGAGATCAGATTCTAGATTCTAGCCCTCATAATGAAAGCCAATGTCCTTACAGTGATTGTCCCTTTCATTTTTTATGGTGAGGCAGGCAGCATATAAAATTAATAAATAAATATAAATGCTCAAGACTTAAAGTTGCATCTGGAGAACTCTCACAGTATTCTTAAATTAAATTTTATTAATTTGGGCAGCTATCATTTTTTTCAAATATGGAGTTATTCAATAGATCTTCTCAACAGAGCCATCATGATTAATAGTTAAGAAAATGGAGATAATGTAAACTGTGTTTTTTTTAATGATTTACAAACTTATTAAAGATAAGTTTCTCTTGCTGCATTAATGGATGCAAAACTGCTATATAAGAATGAGATGTAATGTGAGTGCAAAATCTAGCTAAGCTTCAGAGATACAAAGGAAGCCTAAGAAATATTTTATCATCTCTAGCATCCTTAATTCCAACCAGAGACGAGAACTCTTGCCAAATTAGCTTTTTCTCGCCTCATAAAATCTATCTGAAAAACCTAAGTGTGGAAGAATAACAAAATTATAATCCAAATGTATGTTTTTAATGAAGTCTAATAATCTAATTTGTTCTGAATGAACGGGCAAGGGGTTTTTTGGTTCAAAATTTGCAACTTTTTAGGCTAAAGAGCAAGAATTATAGATTAAAACCAGATGCTGAATGGAAAAATGACTGCGTTCTAATCTAAGACAAGGAAATTATAAGAAATCCATAGTCAGAAGAGAAAAAAGGGAGCAAAGCAGCTCACTACAATGAGAACCTATCTAATAATTAACTAGAACCGCTTATGATATCTTTGGACTCTGAACTGCTTCTCTCAAGACCAACGTGCTCAACTATAATAAGTATATAGTGTTATAATTTTGATTCCACTGTGCAAGTGTGTGTGTATAGAAGGGGAATTCATTAAATTTCTGGTTATCAAGACTCAGGATTAAACTCCCACATATGAAAGAATGTATTTCAGAGCAAATAATCTTATGCTAGTTCATTTGTCGTGGAATAATAAATATTGGTTGGAGATTACTTCTTCCTTAGAAAAAAAAACTCCATTTGCAGAATCTGCCAGTATAAATTAGTAAGCACACTTCCTGAACTGCACTCGTAATAGTAATCCATAAATGAGTGAACAAACATGTCCTTCAAGAAATAACAGTAAATTAGCCACTAGAGTGAAGAACACTGCATTTAAATGTTATTTAAATAAGCATTATATATTAAAATGAAAAGAGACAGACATGTGTGTGAATTATTAAAGTGCAGGCAGATATTTCAAAAAATGAAAATATGTTTCCCAGAAGCTAGCCTTTTAAGATATCCCATTACAATCAATAATCTGAAAAATTAAAAAGCCTGCTAATATTCAAGGTGGCATATAATGGGTTTTAACATTCATTATACAAAATTCACAGCATACTTAAAAATATATGCTCTGATCATGAATCAGAGTCAGTTCACAGGTTGTCAAGGCTAAACTCAAATTAACACTAGAGGGCAATAACATGGAGGTAGGCCCACAACTTACGACTACAAATGAACCCAAAATTTCTGTTGCTAAATGAGACAGTTGTTAAGCAAGTTTTGGCTCATTTTTCAACCTCTGTTACCACAGTTAAGTGAATCACTGAAGTTGTTAACTGTTAGTAACACAGTTATTAAGTGAATCTGGCTTCCCAATTGATTTTACTTTTCAGAGGGTCACAAAAGATGATCACGTAATCCCCAGAACATTATGACGGTCACAAATATGAACCAGTTACCAAGCATCCCAATTGTGATCATGTAACCATTGGGGATGCTTCAACGGTTGTTAAGTGTGAAAAAACAGTCATAAGTCAACTTTTTTTCAGTGATGTTGTAACTTTGAACGGCCACTAAATGAACTGTGGTTAAGTCGAGGACTACCTGTAATTGGACTTGTGCCTGATCACTTTACAATAACAAATATCTGAGGAGAGGCACGTGATAGAAACACATCTTTCTGACTAGACCACATACATGTCTTGGGAAGCTCATAGTGAAATCTTGGATCCACTGTTCATGTATGAAGTCAGAGGTACAAAGCAAAAAATATTGGGAATTCAATCATAAAGAACTGGTCTCTACTAAAACTCATAATCAACCAATAGTAACTATATATGTGGATGACATTTTTATTAGCAGCAATTAAAAAAAAACAAAGATCTTGGAACAGGTACAATATCCTTGCCTAGACTTCCTAGAGCAGGGATAGGCAACCTTGGCTCTTTTATGACCCGTGGACTTCAACTCCCAGAATTCCTGAGCAAGCATGGCTGGCTCAGGAATTCTGGGAGTTGAAATCCACGAGTCATAAAAGAGCCAAGGTTGCCTACCCCTGTCCTAGAGGATGGGTCAAGGGGAAATGCATCATCAGACTTGCCATGCACAGCTTCTTGGAAGAAGGTTGGAACAAAAGAATTTTAAAATAATTGTACCTGCCTTTCCTCATAATTATTTATTATAAACATCTGAAGTAAGTATGGGTGGCTGTCAGCATGACTTTTTTAAAATCTCTCGGAAAATCTAAACCTCTTTTGTTAAAGAAGTCAGAAAACAAGATAGAAATCGACCCTTTTTAAAAACAATTATCTCACTTCTCTTTCCTTAACAATTTCTAGTGCCCAATGCTATATTAATATTAATGCCAATATTAAACACACTCAGGAAACAATGAGAACATGCACTCAGCATCTTCTTTGTAATACCATCAGAGTCAGCTGTTTCTAACGTTAACATTCATCGTGGTGCTAAGCAGAGCTTTTTCACAACATGGAATTAAGCAACATGACTGTCGACCGCACCACTGCCAGTAGAAAAGCTACGATGGTGGAAGCCACACAGAAGCACACCACAGCGCCATCATGCACCTAATACAACTCATAAAACTTACCCCTCTTTTGAGGCTTTTGAAAGAAGGCATTCTGGGCTTCCCTGTCTTTATTTCATTCATGCAATAATGCATTTGTTCAATGGAGAATATGGGATACTGGGAACCATTAGAAGTACTGGACGTATATAAACTAGTAGGGGTAAGGGGTGGGGACTGTGGCTGATATGAAAAGAAAGGAAGAGATAAGGCAAGCATTCAAAGTGATGAAAATTCTGTCTTTTCCTTTCAACACAGAAACAAATGATGGGTTGGATCCAGAGTAACAAAGGAACAAATTTCTGCAAACCGAATGCTCCCACAACTGGAAGGGGAGATTTTAACCAAATGACCCCTACTTCTGAAACCCATAGTAACCATCCTCTCATAAATATGCTTCAGAAGACTGGAGGACTTTAAAAATAATATGAAAGGTGGAACCGGAGGTGGAGAGAGGGAAAATGTGAAAATAATCTTCTTTACGTAGCCTCCATTGCACGATTCACTTTAGAGAATGGGGAAAAAAATCTTCCATATCAGCACACAGAGTCTGGATCCAAGCCCATAACATTTTATATTTTCATCATTACAATTATCAGCATCAGAATGTATCATCATAAAACCTATATCATAATAAAAATAATTTATACTATTTAAGGCATCACAAAGCTCTTTTTTTTAACTACCAAAATGATAAATACACCACACTGAGCTCACAAGAATTTCAAAATCACAATGAAAGCTATCCTTTGGGACTAACTCAAAAACACACCAATAAACTTCGGTCATAAAAGGAAATACATACAATAGGCATTGATATTTTATTTATATGTACATGTGGTGTCATTTGCTTCTTGCTATGAAAAAATGAAAATTAAAACCTTATTTTATCCCAAATTTGGATGTCCATTTTAACAATACATGAAACCAGTGGCTTCAAATATTAATAGAGATACACCATGCAGTCAGATTTTACAATGGCATTCTTTCATTTAAAGCAGGCATGTCCAACCTTTTAGTTTGCCTGGACTGCACTGGGTGAAGAGGAAGTGTCTTGGGCTGCATATAAATATATAATATAGTTAATGTACATGAATTCACATAATAATATTAAAAGTTTACAGTATTTTGGGATGCATTACTAGCTGCCCAGGGCCAAATGTGGCTCACAGGTTGGACAAGCCTGATCTGAAGTATTAACATTTTCTACACAAATTTCCCATACAATCCACCATAATTCAATTGCTCATCCCAATGTCAACAATATCTACAGTTATAAGGTCAACTTAGACTTAGATATTATTAGTTTTTCATACTTCGAAAGGAATTAACACTAACTTCCATTTGAACCTTTAGGTCACCCTCTTCTCAACAATATTCACTTTTTCACAAGTTTTATCTTATAAATATGAAACCATACTCAACAAAGCTTCACCAGGACAAACAAAGCTTAAACGAACTATACTCTTATCTGTACTACATTTGTCATGTAAGTTAAAACCCTCAACCGATTGTGCTTATTAATTTCTCTCCAGTCCACCAGAACACTTCTATTTCAACAAGTATAATTCCACATGGATAGCAAGATATTGCATGATGTTAACAGTTCAGCAACAACAACAGAGGCTGCTACAACTGTTCAGATCAGCTACAAGAGTCTCTGTCCAAGTCACTGTCTGGTATGGATTACAATATTTTTACAATTCCAGGAGAATTTCTGTATTTATAGTCCTAATCAGTCACAGTATATGCTTTTGACTTGCTGGGACTCAGCTGCTGGAATGCCATAGTTGAATTATGTAGGGATGAGAGACCAAAATGTTCATAATAGCAGTTATACTCTGGAACATACTAGAACCCAGTTTCTAAAATGAACAGTTTTGCCCACAAAAATCGATCTGATTATTCTGTTGCAAAAGGTAACATTTAATCACTGAATTACAACCTTGAATGTGCGTGCAATCATAGGATACATTTCAATTTTCTTTACCTTTGGTTTTTTTCCAAAGAGCCAGAGTTTGCCCTTAGCTTTGCCCACAGTAGTTTTTGCATCGATTTTCATTCCTTCCTGTTTCGGGGTACTAATTGTTCCATCAGAAACAGTCCTATAAATGTGTTGACTGTAATCTTCAAATGGAAAATCTCCAGGAGGTTCAAAGCCAGACTTAAAGGAGTCTATTACTATTTGAGAATCCTTTATGAGAGAAATTTACAGAGTTAATGGCTTAAATATCGCATTTAACTAATATTATACTGAAAGACTATCTGTTCTTCAAGGCACTCCAGATCAGGAAACCAAAATCATGAATACTAATACTACTTTTATTGTTAAGGTTATAGCAACAGAATCTTGCAAGGCTGAAAGCGCCACCCCCACCCCCGACTTTATCTTCCCGAGAACTAGGAAGGATCAATTCTGAGGTGATTCCTCAAAACACATTTCTGGTTTGAACTCAGATTTTTGTTTGTTTTTTAACTGACCACTGTCTAGGTTGCAGCTCTTCCTCCAGTCTCTCAAGGTTATTCCTTCTGCCCATTATACTACCAAAATCCAATAGTCTCCTTTTGGTATATGTAAAAATATTAGACTGGGTTTTTTTTCCAAACAGACAATATTAAATAGCCACAGTGCTTAGAGAGATAAAAATATCAATGAAACATGGTATATTTCTTTAATTAACTATAATCAGATATGCAAACCTGAAACCCCACCAATAAGACTGGCTGCCATATCTGCTGGAATTTGATTGCAAACAATACAATCTGTCCTTGTTTAGCAACTCCGGGAACAGAGACTAAGCCAACCGTGTGTGTGTGTGTGTGTGTGTGTGTGTGTGTGTGTGTGAGAGAGAGAGAGAGAGAGAGAGAGAGAGAGAGAGAGAGAGAGAGAGAGAGAGAGAGAGAGAGAGAGAGAGAGAGAGAGAGAGAGAGAG